GGTCGGCCCTGGCTGACGATCAGTCCTCATGGAGAACAGATGTCCCTGGAGTCAACACTCCACTTTCCCTCCCCAGAGGTCCTCTGGGGACAAGGTAGAATGGCTTCTCTGAGTCCCCCTGGGATGGAGACTGCAGCCATCATGAGATGTCCACCTCACACTCTAACCAACAGACAGAAACCAGGTGGAGGTGTGTGAGAACAGAGCCTGGCCCAGGACAGGAGCCTCCCAAGACCAGAGCCTTCTGTGACACAGCTTCTAGTCCCTCCTGTGTCACTAGATTGCTATGTGAACCCTAGCTGATCGCTTAACTCTTCGGAGCAGTGTCAGTGGAGCTAATGCAGGAATAATATTTTTTAAGAGATCATGTTTCTCAAAAAACTCAGAAGGGCATGAAGAGTCACTGAAATGCAATCCTTGTTGTGTGGATGGAGATTGCAGAGAAGCAGAACAATGATGTCAACTTCCTCCTTCTCAGATCCCTCACATGGCCTGAGCAGAAAACCAGCCTGCAGGGCACAGAAATGGCTTCTAAAGGAGAAGAGTGGGAGGCAGCCAGGTGGATCTTAGTGGATCTTTCCAGAAGTTCCTAGCCATGTATTAATATCCTACTGCTGGTGACAAAATAAAACCAATTTCACAACTTAAACAACTCATATGTATGATCTCAGAGGTTTTGTTGGTCAGGAGCCCAGTCTGGAGGGTCCTCTGTTTTAGGACCTCTCACAAGGCTGCAGTCAAGGTGTCAGGCAGGGATGTGGTCTCATCTGAGATTTGACTGGAGAAGGGTCTGCTTCCAAGCTCACATGGTTGCTGGCAGGATTCAGTTCCTTGCAGATTGTCAGACTGGCAGTCTCAGTTCCTCACTGGCTGTTGGCTGGAGGCGCCCTCTTTCCTTGCCATGTGGGCCTCTCCATGGGGTAGCTTGCTTCGTCAGAACCAGCAAAAGAGAAAGTCTACACAAATGGTCTGCTGGAAAGACAGAAGTGACAATCTCATGTAACATAATAACAACAGTGACATCCCATCTGCTTTGCCATGTCCTATTGGTTAGAAGCAAGTCACAGGTCCTGCACATGTTCAAGAGGAGGCGACGACAAGGGGCATGGATATCAGGAGGAAAGAATAATGTGGGCCATCCTAGTGTCTGCCATAAGCCTGTACTGGGTGCCACCAAGCATGTCAGCCCCCACCCCCACCAGTGTGCTAAAATCTCTAATGTGGGAAGACAATTATCTTCACCAGTCCAAGAACTTCCCATTAGTGCGATCCAAAGACCCGTCCAAGAGGGAAGGAAAGAGAGCTCCCCCTCTGCCCTCTCTTGAGATGACCACAATCTTCTTGAATACATGGCCTATTTCTATCTTGCTCACGGATGTACTCCCAGCAGCTAGAACATGCCTACAACCCAACAGATAGCAGGTGCATAATGAAAATGTGTTGGATGAATGTGCACATGGTCCTGCGGTTACTGCCTGTGGAGTCTCCCTTCTGTTTCCCAAAGACATTTCTCCTCTGTTCAAAATTCCTATGTGGGTCCAACAGACGAGTTGTGCCCCTAAAATCAATGCCCATCCTTAGGCTCCAAGCCCTGCAAGCCGGCTCCAAGATGCACTGGGGAGTCTGGACTCTATCTACCCCTCCTAGATGGACTCTGACCACCCCACCCTTATCCCCAGGATGACATCAAAGCACCTGTCTGGAGTGCCCAGCACCCAGGGGTTCTGAGAAACATGCACAGTCCTCACTCGGCTCCTTGGAGCTTCACTTCAGCCAGCAAACATCGTCACTCCCACCACTCAACATGGGAGAGAAAAGGAGACCTAGGACAGATTTTACTCCCGGTTACAGAGGACATAAACGGAAGCAGGGATGGTGAGTGGGTTGTTCTTTTCTTTTTCATTTCCCTCGGTGGTATCACAACATTTCACGTGAAATGAAATGTCCCCTCCAAGCTGCCTCCACAGGCAGAGCCTAGAATCCAATTTCCCTTCACCCCCCCCGTGTGGCTGTCACTGGCCCAGCCCGTCACCTGCTGTACAATCAGGGGCGTCAGGTCTCTGGGCATAGAGTGAAATTTCCCTTCTCAAGTGGACAATCTAGAGATAGAATATTACAATCACCCCAAAAAGTTTCCCTGAACCCCTTTGTAGTCAGTCTCTTCCCAGGCCTCTGACCTGTTTTCCCTTCTCATTATTTGCCTTTTCCAGAATGCCATATAATTTTACAAATGTCGCCTTTTGAGTCTGGCCTCCTTCACTCAGCATAACCTGTGAGATTCATCCACAGCTCTTGTGTGTCCACTACTGGGTCCTCTTCCGCCCTGTGGCTGCACCACCAGTTGTTTATCCGGGACAAGCTGAAGGACATCCGAGTTGTTTCAAGATGTTGGGCAATTATGAAAAAAGCTGTTATAAACATCTGTGCACTGGTCTTTGTGGGGACACATGTTTTCATTTCTTTTCAGTAAACACCAGGAAGCAGATGGCTGAGTCAAACAGTAAGCGCCCGTTCACTTTGTAAGAAACTGCTAAACTGTTTTCTAATGTGGCTGTGCCATCCCGCAGGCCCACCTTCAATGTAGGAAAATTCCAGGTGCTCAGCATCCTCATCAGCTCTTGGTGTTGACAGCTGTTTTCATTTTAGCCGCTCTGAGTGTGTGGCTGGTTAACACTCGATATTTAGTCCTCATACAATCCCATAAAAGTGGTGGTACTATTTTCCCCATTTCACAGATGAGGAAACTGAGTCTCAGAGAGACTAGATCACCAGCCCCAGGTCTTACAGCCATTCAGAGGCAGGGCTGGGATTCAAACCCAGACTCTGGAGCCAGAGGTCTTCATAAGCTTCTTCCATGGGCCCCTGTAAACCCCAGTGAGTGAGTAGGGGAGAAGGCACGGGGAGTAACAGAGACCTCAATTCAAGCCCCTGCTTAGCCACTTTTTACCTGAGTCACCTCAGGCAAGTGACACAACGTCTCTGTGCCTCATTTTCCTCATCTGTAAAATGAGAATAATAACAATAATTACCATAAGGAGCTAAGAGTCAGAGGTCAGGAAATCTAAGCTGTCTCCTCTAACTGACAAGGAAGAGAAACACACAAATGATGTTACCCTGTGTAAGTTGCCAGAATGGTTGGCAAAGGCAAAAACACCTGATTATAGAAACGTGACCCTACTCTGAGCCACATTCTCAAGCTGCTCTTCTCTCCAGGCTTACATAGGATTAATTAAAACACTGTGTTGAACACTTCCATGCACCATATAATTCATTGAGGGAGATGAAAGATGAATAAAACACGCGTCATGTTCTTCATGTTCATTCCCCACATCTCATTCCTGAGGGTTCCCTGACTCACCCTGTACCCCCAACCACACTTCACTTCATTTCCAAGTTGAAAATTACACACCAAAGACCCAGTACTTCTTTCTTCCTAAGAACAATTACTGTGAATGGTTTCAGATATGCACAACATATACATAAAATATAAAGAATAATGATGAGCCCCACATACCCATGCCCAGCATAAGACACTAATGACATTTGAAGACCCTGATGACCCCCCGTATATGCCCCTCCTTCCCTCCCACCCAGTGGTAGCCTTGAGCCGGGGGTCTCCATCTCATGTTCTCAGGACTTAGGCAGGCATTTTCAGGACTGTCAGCCGCTCCACAGAACAGTTGAGATCACCCCGAAGGTGAGAGTGTGGGTCAAGGAGAAAGGCTCAAGGCGAAGGTCACGAGACAGGAAAGGAAGAGTCACCAAAAGATGTGAACGTGCAAAATATGAGGTGGGGATCCAGATTTGAGGTACAAAGATGCCTTAACGGGTGAGTTTGACATACAAATGTGCTTTGTACTAACACCACTGGTCCTGAACTTGATCTGCTCTGCCCATCCCTCCAGGCTGACCCAGAGCACTGGTGAAAATTTGGAGCTTTTATGGAATCTGTGTCTTCTGATGCTGGAAAAACCAGGGGTGGCCCAGGGAATCTGATTTCAGAACAGGACCCACAGACAGGGCCGACTACCTCTTGGTGACGTCCCTCCCACATATCCCCCTCCTCCACAATTCCTGAGTCAGTTTTCACTCCACTTTGTCCACTAAACAGATCCCATAAATTTGAGAATCCAATGGATTGGTAAGCACCTTCATTAAAGAAACAACCTAAGTCATTCACCACCTAGTATGAATTTGCCCAGATTGCTTTGCTCCATAACAGTTGATTCAGCCAAGTCTTAGGCGTGGAGCACCTGGGAGAGTCAGACCCGGATGGGATATGAAAGGTGGAGGCTTCCAGCAACCTGAGAGCGTGGGAGAGGAGCAGTAGGAAGAGAAGGGGTGCAGAAAGTGAGGGGCATAGACTTCATGGATAAACCCGGCCTCTTTCAGGTTGGCTTCCTCCAGGAAAGGAAGGAATCATTCTTCCACTTGCTTGGCTCCCTCCTCTTCCTCTGTACTGCACACACCACTGTCCCATGAGTCGGCCCAGTTTCCCTGAGCACAATATTATGCAAGAGCATAATTAGGCCTGGAGGCTAGTTAGACACCCGACAACCTCACATACTGTCATTTCTGTGGGGAAATGTGTCCTGAGTCCCAACCACTGACCTATGAGTGTACTTTGGGTTAGCCACTACAGGAACATGGCCCATCGCTAAGTGGGGAGCGGCTCTCCAAGCACCCCAGCCATCTGTCCTACAGGGACAAATCGGGGTACACTGAGCTCCTTTGACACCTGTTCAATGTTAAGTTCAATTTTGTCAAAATACTCATCTTGTCAAGTTCTCATGCAGGCCCCTTTCATTCTTTGAGAAAGAAGCCACCACTCCATGGCTCACTCTCTGCAGGTCCATCCTAACCATGTGATGTGGTTGCAATGGAAGCTGCTCAACTGGAAACTTCTCAGAACGTGGCGCAGGGGCGGGGACGATCTTATCGGGAACTCTTCTGTTTGGGTTTAGGATAACAGGTGACGTTTGGAGGCTGATAAGGCTGGTTCCCGAGGACTTGTGCTGTATATAAGAAGCAACTCCCGCCTGCTGCTGTACACTTTCCACCCATCTTGTCTTCTCTGGAGACTTGGGACCCGGGAAGAACCATGAAGTGGCTGCTGCTGCTCAGCTTGGTGGCGCTGAGTGCCTTATCTACAAGTGAGTCTGGGGGACACGGGGCACGGAGAACAGCTTCCGAGGAGCTGCTTCCCTTCACTGCCACCCTGTCTGTCTTTCTTCCCTTATTTTTCTTCTCTTCTGCCTTCATACCACTCCTTGCTCTCTTCCACCGTCTTGAGTCTCCTTTCTTCTCTCTCTGTCCTTCTGGGGAGGCATTACTGCAGACGTCGTTCATAGCTCAGGCCCTCAAGTCCAGCCTGGGTTGGGTGCCAGCTCCATCACTGTTTGGGTGACTTTGGGCAACCACTGAACCTCTTTGCAGTAGTGTAGAAAAAATGGGAGAATCTCCCCTCTTGACTTCCTTCTTTCTTCCTCTCTTGGAGAAGCTTCCTTTACCTCAGGGCCTTCCATGGCACCCCAGGAGCAGACTCCTTCCCTAATTACACTTCCTCCTCCAAACCATCCCATTTGCAAATGCTCTGCCACAGGGTTCCACTTGTCAGAAAGAAGTCCTGGAGGAAGAACCTGATCGAGCATGGCCTGCTGGAGAAGACGCATCCCCGCAACCTAGCCAACAAGTACTTCCCCAAGGAGGCTGCCACCTTGGCACATGTTGAGTCTACTCATGGAGAACTACTATGATGTGAGTGCATGGGCAGGAGAAGTGGAGGGGCAGCACCGAGGATTTAGCCTAGAAGAGAGAGGGGTTCCAGTGTTCTTGGAGGATGGATCAGGGCTCTGAGCCCACAGGCAGTAACCCAGAGGTCAGCTCTCACCGGCACAAGGCAGGCAGGAAAACTCACATTCTGACATGTTGCTTTCGTTCATCTCTTCCTTCATTCATTCATTCAGTGTTTATGTATGCAGAGCACCTCCTTATGTGCCAGTCACTGTGTTTGGCCCCGGGGGAAGCAGCAGGGAAGAAAACCAAGCATAGCTCCTGCCCTCAGGGGTCTCACAGTCTGCTAGGGAGAAACAGACAATCATCAATGAGCCTCACCATCCATGAAAAGTACAACCAGGCTGAGGGGTACGCAGTGAAGATGACACTGTGAAGGGGGTGAAGGTGGCAGGTAGGGACAACTCTCCGGGGCATTGAAGGAGAAGCTGGGGTCCAAGAAGACAGGAGAGAGTCCCAGAAAGCAGGACGGCTTGTGCCAGATCCTGGGACAGCTGGATCTGAGGAAAGGCCAGTGTTCAGGGAGAGCAGAGAGGGAGGGTGGAGCAGAGAGAGGCCCGAGGGAGTATGTGGGTGGAGCCAGGCCAGAGTCTCTGAAGAGGGTCTACATCCTCATTGCCACCAAATCATCTTAACCAGGGGAGTTGACATGATCGGTGTGGAGTCTCAGGAAGATCTCTCACTGTTCTATTTGGGACCCAATGACAACACCCTGCCCATCGGTAGATATTTTGTGTCCCTGTGTGAATGGCACAGGGCCAATGGTAGGAAGAAATGTTGTCTGTCGTTAAGATCTTAGCCTGTAAAATCTACCAGACCTGGTGCAAATCTGGGCTCTAATCCTTCTGAGTCACGCGCCATTGGGCAAGTCATTTAAATTCTCTGAGTGAGCCTCAGTTTGCTTGTCTTTCAAACAGAACCACGAATATTTACCACAAGAGGGTTGTTGTGAGTAATTAATGCAATAAAGTTTTCTTGGGAGGAATAGCAAAGGAGAGGCTCTTGGTAAGAGCTTGGTAAAGTTAGCCCATTTAATCATTTAACAAAGATTTATGAACTATCTACTATGTGCCAGAGGCTCTGTGCAAGGAGCTGAGGCAACAATGATGAAGAAGCACAGTTCCTGGAGCTTCTATTCTGGAGAAGAAGGCAAATGAGCGACAAATAAATAGGAATGGAAGATAATGTCAGTAATGGCTGTGATGCAAAAAAAGATTGATTAATTAGACAAATGGTAAGAGGAGGAATGGAGGAAGGGCACATTGAGATGAAGTTGTCAGGGAGGGCCTCTTGGTCGAGGTGACATTTGACTAGAGCTCTGAATGATTGAGGAGGAGGAGCCAGCCAAGGAAAGGTCCAGAATTAACATTTTCCTAGCACAAGGAATAGCAAGTGCAAAGCCCTGGGATGGGAATGAGCTTGTCATCATCAAAGAATATCCAGCCCAGCCTGGCTTGAACAGCTGAAAAGGGAGACAGGGCTGCCACTACAAATAAAAATCCTGATACGCCCTTTCTCGAAATCCGTTGTACACACCTTGTTTTGAATCACCTTGTTTCAAATCAAGGTGATTTGAAACAAGATCTCTCTTGGGGTTTCCATCTTTCAATGACTTTTTATCTCCAGATGAGAATTACCTGAACCAGCATTTAAGCATTTACTCTGCTGGGTGCCGTAAGGTTCCACCCTGTCCTCCGAGATGGTGTGTTCTCTAGGATGGCAAGACTACAACATTCAAGCCAAGAGCTGAAGAAAGGCCTGCTGATTGTGATTAGGTGTTAATGGTGCTTAGAAGAAAACAGTCAGAGGCTACCAGGGATGCAATAAGGGAGGACATCAAGTAGGAGGGGAGGCCAGATGGGGCCTTGAAGGACGGATGCATTGGACAGGGAGAGAAAGGCAAGGAGAGCAATGAGGGCAGGTGAGCTGAGGAGAAGCCCCAGGGGATGCCCTGCTCCCTGGGAGCCCCAGGATGGGGAGTGACCTGTGCTGTCCCCGCCCCGCAGGAGGAGTACTTTGGCACCATCAGCATCGGAACCCCCGCTCAGGATTTCACCGTCATCTTTGACACCGGCTCCTCCAACCTGTGGGTGCCCTCCACCTACTGCTCCAGTCTCGCCTGCAGTGAGTGCCTGGTTCTGCCCAGGGCCCCCAGCACCCACTGACCTGGGAGCCCTGAAGGCACAGGGGCTTCAAATAGGTCTGATTTCAAGCTGCTGGGGTCCCTCAGGGATTCTCTCAACAGGCACTTCCTGAGTACCCACTATGTGCCCAGCACTGGGCTTAGGTGTCCAGGGAATACAGGGGGAATCACACAGGGTCCCTGCCTCCAAGGGGTTCAGTCCAATGGCAGCAAGCAACTCTCCTGAATAACCAGGCTCAGGGGAGTCGAGGGTGACCAAAGCAAGCCAGGGCTAAAGGGCTACAGGAGAGCCAGCTGGGACACAAGCCTGACATGAGAAAGTAGCTCAAAATCATGACTGAGTTGAGCAATGTTCTGACTTTTAAAAACAATCAATAGGTTTGCTAACCACAGAGACATTGTCATTGGGAGTCATGGACGGTGTTTCAAGTTCCTTACTCTTCTGGCTTTTTTAGCTGACTTTTAATTCAGAGTAGGAGCCCCTGGAATCCTCCCCTTCATCACTTGAGCTGTAACATTGTAACACAGTCACTGTGACATTATAGCTCTAAGATGGGCTGTACACAGGCTGCTGTGAAGGTGCTCATCTCCATGGGCAGCCGTGGGCCTGCTCTGCTAAGTGCTTGCCTGGGGGGCCTTGGTAGGACCGTGGGGTTGGCTGGGGACCTTCCATCAGGGAGATGGTCCCAATTGGTCCAACCAGACAGGAATAGAACCTGGGAATGCTTAGTCTCCAAATTCTGGGGCAAAAGTCACCTTTCTCCTCCAAAAACACACCCAGAACCAAGGCAGCCCACCCCAGAAAGACATCCCCAGCCATGATTCTCCCTCGTCTTTTGGAGGTTGACGATGTCACTTCCTGCCCTCACAGCCAACCACAACCGCTTCAACCCTGAGGACTCCTCCACCTACGAGGCCACCAGCGAGTCTGTCTCCATCGAATATGGCACCGGCAGCATGACAGGCATCCTTGGATACGATACCGTCAAGGTGAGCACCTGCTGGCTCACCACCTATCCTTCCCAGCCTTAGGGACAGCTTCTGGGGACTGTGGGAGCCACAGTGCACCCCCCCAGAATCAGCTCATTCAAGCCATACAGGTCTCAGTGAGCCTCAAAGTAACCTGATTGGGGGGGGTGATGTGGAAGTGGCCGAGATGTCACAGACATCTCTAGGTGGGGCAGTAGTGGGTAAGGGGTTGGGATTCCTGGAGCCATAAGCAACCTCAGCCCCACCCAAGCTGAATGCTGTGGAGTCGGGGAAAAGGTAGGAAAAGGCTCAGTTCTCTTTTAGCAGCTCCTCCCCTTTCTTCTCACTCCACCTGCAGGCTTCCCCAGCCATAAAAGCCCCACAAGCGCCACCACCCTTCCAGGGCTGGGCAGGGGTCAAGGGCTCTGATTTGTCTGGGGTCTAGTTTGCTTCTGATCATCAGAAACACGAACACACTGTGCCCATCTGTTCTGCAGCCAATTCTCATGCTAAGTCACAGACTGTAGCCTTCTGGAGACAAGCCACAATGGTTGCTTCCAGTAGAAACACAAACATTACCAAAGAGGCTCCCTCTCTCCTCCTTCCAACGGACGCACCAGAACCTGAGTCCCACAGGAAATGAACTAGGGATGCTCTGGGCCCAGGGCTGGCGCCTCGCAGGGCTCAGTCAACACAAGCTGATGGTGAACATCTCAGTTCCCCCACTCAGGTTGGAGGCATCGACGACACCAACCAGATCTTTGGCCTGAGTGAGACAGAGCCCGGTTCCACATTTTACTACGCTCCCTTCGATGGCATCCTGGGTCTGGCCTACCCCAGCATCTCCTCCTCCGATGCCACACCTGTCTTTGACAACATATGGGACCAGGGGCTGATCTCCGAAGACCTCATCTCCGTCTACCTGAGCTCGTAAGTCCGCCGGAGAGGTCATGGTCACCTGGCCCAGCAGAGGGCTGTCTGGGGCTGGGTGGGGTAGAGAGGGTCTTGGTCAGCAAGGGATTTGAAAGGTCAATGTCTAAGGCTTGAGAGGTATAGCTTTGGAGAGAACCGTGCCAAGTCTCTCTCTCATGGACCATGTTCATTCATCTTATTTTACCAGCGTGAGTCTTTGTAACCTTGCCTTACACAACTCAAATGTCACTAGTCATTTGCTCTCCAGCACCAGTCCCCTCATCGTTGGCCCCAAAAGACCACCATTAAAATGAATCCACTTAAAACAGGGGTCAAAATTCCCTAGCAATGACAAGAAGATTTGATCGGGACTTATCTTAAACAATGAAACTTTTAAAAGACGAACGCAAGTTTCTCTCATTGGTTAACAAAATCTAGGTTCCAGTTGTGACTATGAGTTAATTCTAAGAGGAATAAAGAACAAACCAAGTGTTGGTTTTGGATGAGTTGAGGATTGTGCAAGAATATCAGAGTGTCATCAGTTTTCCCGAGACACTCAACTTTCCTCTGACGCGCTCATCCTCTCTTGAAGCCATTTGTCATTGTTATTGTTTTTCTTCGTTGTTCACTGTTCTGCTAACATCTCACTGTGTTGCCTTGTACTGTCAGACGTTTACAGGAAAGGTGACATGGGGACTATTATATCCGTGGCCCATTCTTTGGTGATTAATTTCTTATCATCCACCTTTGCTTCTCTACCTAACCCTAAACAGCAGAGATTAAGGAAATGAATATTCTAGTAACCAGGAGGAAATTTAGAACAGGAGTAATGTACCATGGGAGGGCCTTTTGTCTTTTTCTTCACTTAATATTCAGGTCGGCTCCTAAATATCATCTGCCATTGTG